GCTGCAGGACTGTAGGGGTCCGTCCCGTCTGTTCCCACTGTTGAGTAATGCGGATGAAGGTCTGTGCCACTGCTTGAGGGAGCATACGCAGCTCACTCACGGTCCACGCATCCGGACCTGGGGAGCCCTTGAGTTTACCTCGCTTTGCTAGGAACTCCTGCTCAGAAGGTCTTCCTCGGGTTGGGGCTGAGTCGGGCAGCAAATCGAGGACAAAGCTCTTGCGCTCCTCCCTTACATTAGGCTCAGCTGGCCCAGCCCAAATGTTTTCCCAATGTTCCCGAATGGCTTGCAGAACCGCTTTGTGGCTGGTAAGGGCTTGATCATTCTGCATGATAGTAGGATTCGTGCACACATTGGCCTTGTCAATCCACTTGTGTCTGCTGTTTCTGTTTTGCCGCATGGCTGTTCTCCACTGTTGTAGTCGTTCGCCCTGCTCTTGCTGCTGCTGTTGCTTGATGTTTTGAAAAGTCGTGTCGACCTGTGTTTGGAGGTACTGCTGCAGATTGTCATTGCTGTACGCAATGCTACGGGGCAACCTTAGTTTGGCCACTAGCCTGGCACGCTCTTGCGCGGCTTGCGGCGTGGCGATGCTGAGGAGCTGCTGGAGTCTTATCGCCCGATGCATCCAGTTGGTGGCTTTCCGCTGCTGCATTGTGCCAGGGTCACGTGTCTGTCTGCGAGCTATCTGCTTAAGGGACGTTTCCTCCAGTTTGGCCTTGGCTCTGCTAGCTTTGCTCTGCCAGGACTCAAATGCCGTGTGCATGCTGGTGTCGGTAGGTTGGCCCATTGTGGCAGCGGCAACTCGGAAACACTCATGCACACAAGTGAGGAAAAGCTTCCAGGTTTGGTCCACGTTTTCGCCCTGGTCTATGGCTGTAGCAAGGGATCTGCGGTCCATGGATTGGGCCTGCTCCAACCACACGTTGTCTAGGTGTTTTTGCCAAGCTTCGCTAGTGTGGCCAGGAGGCGTCTCCCAGGTGTGTTGCTTTGTCAGTGTAGATCGGAGGGTTTCCTCCGACCAAGTCTGGGTGAGCTGCGTCATGAGTGGTTTATGGTCGCTGATTTTGGTTTTGAGAATTGTTGCTTTGGAAACGAGATCCAATCTGTTACTGAGGAGGTGGTCGATGGTTTCGCTTCCTCGCCATCTCGTAGGCTGGCCAACGTAACCTGGGATTGGTTGCCCGTGAAATGCTTCAGCTGCTGTGACAAGGCTGCCCTGGCGATCCTCGTTGTAATCGCCAGCCCACAACAGTGGTCTGTTGCCTGCTGTGGCACAGTGGGCTGCTAACATGTCGTTGGCCCGTACCGCCGCAAATTGGCTGAGCCCATTCCTCGGAGGGCAGTATGTGTTGATGAGATACCAATTTCCGACTTGGATCAGGAGGTGTTGGTAGTCATCGTGGGAGTGCTGCTGTAGCTCCGTGCTGCTGATGTCCGAGTGTACTGCGGTAAGAACTCCTCCGATGGGACGTTTGGCCTTTTCCGGTCCGCAGGAAATGCTTTTGCTGGGGGCCCAATAAGTGCGGTAACCGTGCTTGGCTAGGTGAGATTGGAAAGCTCTGTATTCGCTAGTTGTGAATGCAGCCTCCTGAATGCAGAGTATGTCCGCGGGCCTGCTGTGCCCAAACACTGCTCCCTCCAGGAATTGTTTGGAGGCACGCCAACTGCCTGGGGCCCCCCCCGTGTTGATGCTAACGGCCAACATGACGTGGCGTTGCTGGAGTGGTTGCCTCGTCCGGGAAGGGGAGCATTGACTGGGCCCGGGTTTGGGTTCGATCCCTTCCTCAACCAGGCGAAGGAACTTGCTGTCGGCCTCCGCTTTGGAGGTATTCCAAATGTTGGTGAGCTCCTGAGCTATTTGGGGAATATCCCGGACCCTTTTCCATTGAGCACAGGTCATGTAGTTTGGTTTCGCAAGTTGGCCTTGGCATTTCAATTGCCAAGTTTTCCCGTAGGGACCCATTCTGCAGCATTTCGTGCAGGTGCGTCCGTTGTTTAGCTCGCGGGCCCTCATCTCATCCGAGTAGTCGTCACCCACCAGCGGCAGGGGGTTGCCGAAGTTGCCTTAGTTATTTCTGTAATACTAATACAAGTGATCATGTTTAATCTATAATGGGCGCAGGTATACATAAAAGTGTTAAATGTTCAACAAGAACCCAGTTGCCTGGCTCCTTGCTGTCGTCTTGCACAAAGACTGTGGCTTCCAGCACCGCAATGATGGCGATGGTGATAAGGAAGCCAGTCTGACCAGCGCCGACGGTGCAAGCAGACACATCCTTTGGCACGCCCTCAAAGCCAGGGAGCTGCACCAGGCTCTGAGTCAACATCCCAAGTGCCCCCATCATAGCCAGTCGGCCGTGCTTGATCTCCTTAGCCCGGAAGTCCTTGAAGGTTGCCTCGTCCTTGCAGAGGTCAAGAG